TAAAAGGGCTTTTACCCGAATCAGACCCCATAAAAGTAAAGCAGCATGAAGGGGTATCTCGCCAGAATCCAGAAACGTGAAAAGCAGATCAACAGTCGAAGTTTTATGACTAAGGACATCTGAATTTAAGCCAAGAAACACATCTGTTAAAGATCAAAAGTCACATCTCAAAAAGAAAGAAAAGTCTTATGGAAAGGCATGCTGGAAACTGTCTGAAGGGGTGTGTCAAAGGGCTGTGCAGATAGTGCATGTTCGTGCAATATAAAGTGTCTATTCGAATAGGTTGTGTGTCTGTTCGTCAATTTGTTGTGTCTGTTCGAAGGTCAAGATAACTGTAAAGTCCCAATACTGAATTAAGTTCTGTAGGCAGTCCAGATCTAGTCCTACTGTCCGAAATACAGGCCGAATGCCAAAAAGCAGCAGTACCTTTCTGGGATATCACTGGGACACATGCAATGCAGGGCCTGGGACAGGGCCGAAGTGCCAATTCAGATGCTGAACGTGGAATCCAGCACTATAAAGGAGGCTGCTCCCCTCATTTGTGGCAGATTCCTCACTGGCATGGAAGTGCTGGCCACTTGTGTGCTATTTGGTGAGAGGAGGAGGATGCGCTGGAGTTGGAAGTGGTGCTGAAGGCAGAGGCTGGGCGCTGGTGCAGGATGATGCAGCCTTAGCTGCCTGGCCAGGATGCTAGTAGTAGGAGCAGCCATAGCTGCCTAGCACAGACTAGAAGAGGAAGACCCGTGAGATGCATTCAGAGTAGGTCCTTGAGAGAGAAGAGAGAGTGTTCATGTATACGAGGGAGAAAGGAACTACATCAGAAGGGTTCAAGAGCTTTGGGCTATGGAAGATACTTACCTGGACTGAGACGTGATCTCCAGAGGCAGCGCTGTAGTGTACATGCTGTCTTGATGCGTTAGGAACTGAATATGTGAGGAGCTGGGAGTGCGTCTGAGTTCAGGGAACATTGGCATTTTTTTGTAAACATAATTTTGATAATATAAGCTGCGTCATGCAGCATTCTTCTCTCCTACCCTTGTCTAAGAGTGATGGCTACAGTTCTTTGAGAGTGACGAAGTTGCATGATCTATACATTTTGGCGTGAGATGGTCCACCGGACCCATGCACATACACTGGGCATGAAAAACAAATGGCTTTGATTCATCCCAAATACAATGCAGACATTTTGGACACAAGCAACATAGACACGGCGTGAAAAGAAGATAGCTCTGAATCATGCCAAATACACATCCTTTCTCTTCCATGTACTCGGCATTCTCTCTACAGCATACAAGCCTTTTCCTTTCTCCCCTTTCCAAACAACATGCTGTATGAGTTCCATGAACGTGCATGTGTCCTGATGGGTGCAACAACATCAGAAGCTATCCCGTGTCCTCCTCCAGGCTCCAGAAAACTCTCCACACTCTATTTTGCATGCAATGTCCTACATACAAGCCTTTTGCTGCCTCACATTTCTCACCAGCAGTGTCTATTAGTTGCATGAACTTGCATCCGTATCCTGGTCAATGCCATAATGTCAGAGGTCATCCCACTTTTACTCCAGAAAATTTCCTCTAAGGCTTGGGCACATCTCCAGGGGCATCAAATAGGATCCCAATGCGACTCTAAAAAACTCACACAAAACATGTGTTTGGAAAGTTTGCAGAGCAAAACAAACGTCCAGATTGTCGAACAGCTCATGTTTGATCAGTGACAAGTTGACGACTTTCTTCTCACCCCTGTCATGGTGGCCTGGCATTGTTCTATAGATTAGCAAATTTTGATCCATTGAAGGCTAGGCACAAATTTCGGCGGGGTTGGTGGAGAACGGACACCACCCTGACTTAATTCAAGCACACTGAATGACACAACCTCACAACCCAGCAGACGAGGTAAAACAAACAGTTTCGTGTCACAAATTCAGAGAGCAAGAGAAGGGGAGACCAGTGAAGGGGTAAATGGTGGATTGCCATGAGCTACTCCTACAACATCCACTTTGCATGGAGGGATTGGTGGAGGAAGAGGAAGGCAACCATAGTGGAAGGAGAAAGAGCGTAAGAACAAGAGGGGGAGCATGGGAGGGAGGAGGATACAATCACACATAAAAAATGAAACCTATGGTGAGGAGAAGACTGAAAGAGAAGGAGACAGGAAAAAGAAGCCCCAGCATATGAATGGAGAGGAAAAAACTTCAAGAAGGAGAAGAGGCAAGAAGACGGGGAAATGGACAGTCTTACATCAGCAACAAACCCATTGCTCGGGGATGCTCCTCCAATAGGTAACCCTGTGACAAAACTCTTCTGTTGCCGAGGAATGCCGTCCCTCCGCAGCTCTCCTTTCCTCCTCCATCTGAAGCTCACACTGCGGCCAACTTGCCTGTCAGGATCAGACTGTTCTTCCTGGGCTTCCTCATCTCCATCTCCTACAGACATCTCTAATTCCAAATCCATGCCGCTCAGTTCGTCTTCCTCTTCTTCCTCTCCGCTTTGCCTCTCCTGGGACTCCTCCTCCTCCCTTCTCCGTCTCTCTTCTCTTTCTGCCGGCTCGAGACGCTTCATCCACCCTGCAATTTCACGTGTTTTGGACCGTCTTCTAATGCTCCCATTGGAACCCTTCTCCCCATTACTCCGTCCACTATTTGACTTGCTCTCCTCTGATTTTGTGAGAATGGATGTCAGAAACAAAATCCCGACGAGAAGAAAAGAAAGAAAACCAGTCAGTTGGATTACATGGAGAAGATGAGGATGAAACCTGAAACAGAAGTGCATTGCACAGACATTTGAGTCACGGAAAGCCACCCATCAATGAGTACACTGTGGTTGTTGGGACAATGTTATTCCACAGAACAAATGACAGATGAGGCATAGCCACATATGTGAACATTATCTCCCAAAGCTTTGCAACTTTCAGCTCAGCGAAGACATGGTACTTGCCGAGTATCGTCTTGGAAATGTGCTGTTACAACTTTTTTGGATGTATATATTCATTATATACAGCTATTTTTCATTTCAGTAAGAAAGTGCAATTCGATGTATGGCATAATGGTTGATTTGTCAATACAGAACATGGCCTCTCTTTGCATACATCAAGCTCTATTCACCAGTTTGCCATTCCGTTGCACGGGCATTCATTATAAATACGGATCCACAACCTTTCCCAAGGGAGAATTCTCCACAGTTGGGAGACACCTCGTGATCATTTATCCAGTTTAGAAAACCTTCCATCATTTTGATACTTGGATCTTTGCACAATGTTCTCAAGTTTGGTCCTGTCGGAACAAAACTAAACTAGATTGTCCAAATTCCAGCGACACAAACTGCTATAGCTTTTCAGGGCCAGAACGAATACCAATATAATGGAATTTCAATCAGAACATCCTTGCAGCACACGTGTTATGTGCCCAGAAGTGATGGAGCACACCATAAACTCTAATACAGTATCGAAGTCCTATATTCAGGACAAGAAATTTCAAAAAGGTTTTCCCCCAGCAGAACTGAGATGAATTCCTCCTTGTTTTTCCTTCCCTTCCCCCAATAGTTATTTTGGCCTCGCTCTTACGATGTTCTGCTGCACTTGGTGCAATACACCACATACCCACGCATGCATGCATCAGGCACACTGCATGAAATACACTTCAACAGTGCACAAGAAATATGAAACAAACTTGAGCAAAGCGATCCAAACAGTTGATTGGGGTTCTTCTTCAGGATTGTCTGGTTCCCTTGCAGTACACCAGTGAAGTGCCTCTTATGTGTCGCATATGCACACTTTGCATGCATGCAGTGCTTGCTGTGTGCCCCTCGTGCACTTCCCATGCATGCAGTGCACCTGAAACAGACTTTGACAAAGTGAACCAAAAAGCGCCACAAATATGAAACAAATATTAAGAAAGTGATCCAACCAGCTCTAGCTCACAATCAACTTCCTGGGTGTTTTGCGAATTTGTTAAAAACAACTCCACAAAACATGGTGGCTGTGACAGACTGTTTCTTTGGACTTCCACAGAGTCATAAGAACACTGAACCTCTAGAGTCTTCCCAGAATGCATTTGACTGATGGATAAGGACTCACTACCTCTCCCAAAGTTAGCGATACCCTTGAAAAAAGTGGTCGACAAGACTAACACCGACCCTGCAATCCTAACAGTGTCTGGTTCAAACCCCTGACAAAAATGACAGGAGATCCAGGAAAAGTTGGAAAACAGCCCATCACAGATTCATGGCCATAAAACCCACTCTACACACCCACTCGGCCAGGGAGAACCACTACATGTGTGTGAAAGAGACAGCAGACGTTGTGCAATACTCTGTAAGGTGAAAAGGGGAAGTTCTATTTCATACCAAATGCTTGAAAAAACCCTAGACACTGACATCTGGCATAAAGTCCATGGTGTCTCGTGTGCACGTGTTGAGACACCAGACACTCTAATAATGGTAGAAAAAAGTAATTCAACAAACTCTTTACTTGATACTTGAAAAAAATGATACGACAACTAGTACAGTATGTGGAAACCAGGGGAGAAGGTGCATGCCAGACAAGCTGTCTGTAGTATAACCATCCAGGGGATGATCTCCCTGAATTCCTATTTCACATCAACTCCAAAGTCATCGCCCTTGAGAAAGGTGGGAGCCCTAAAATTTGGTTGGCAGTAAGAAGCCAGGACTGGTCAATTACACTCTTCTGCAGAATAAGAAACTGTCCATCATACCGGCAGCAAGTCTTGTCTGATTGAATGAAAGTTGTTGCGTGTATGTTGCATTCGTAGGGTCCAGTTGTACTGCTTGCTTCGAAAATTCAACCGCATCTGCATACTTTCCACTCTGCAGCACAAAGATAAACACTGCATTACCAACAAGAACAATACTAAGCACGCAAACCTACCGGCTGATCTAGTTAAGGACTCAGCACGCAAACCTACCAGCTGATCTAGTTAAGGAGTCATACGCAAAACTACCTCTTCGCTGGTCGCAGACATGCGGGACATTTTACATACTCATGGTGGGCCAGAAATCAAACCGTTGTGCATTCAAACCCGAGGTCGAACCCATGGTTTGTCCAACATTGGGAACATTTCAAGCATTGTACATTTCAAGCTATTTGCTCCAATGAATTTCTTTGACCTGTTACGATCCTGGCCAATTTCGAAATATACATTCATCAGAAAGTACAATGCCATCCAATTGCGAAAAGAAATCAATGAACTTGAGAGGAGAGAGAGGGAAAGAAGAAGAAGAAGAAGTAAGAAAGAAGAAGAAGATGATGTACTCCAGCATAGGCCAATGACAAGGCTCTTCTTCTTCGCCAACCAATCTCCTCTTCCTCATCTCCTCCCAATAATGTTGAATGGCTGAACCAGAATCAATGTCCGAATCCCACTTCTACTGCAGGCACAACATGAGGTCCACCATAGCCATGGCCACCCTTCCTCTTCCTCTACACGCAGGCCGAGGCTATGGCGGAGCACTGAGGGCTCTACCCTCCGGTCCAAAGGACAACCCAAAGCAGCTATGTCGCTGCCTCCCTGTGCAAAGGACAACGCAAAGCAGCTATGCCGCTGCTCACTAGCCGCCATGCCTGTCTCTGGCCCGAGCTTCCTTGGTGCGGTACTACCCCAACGGGGGCCTTCCAGATGCAGCGCCTGACAAGGTGATGAAGATGGTGTCCACCATAGCCAGGTAAGTACCTCGCCACTCTCCTCCTTGGTCCCCTTCTCCCTCCTTCTCCTACCGGTAGAGCTCCACCATAGCCAAGGTGGAAGCTCCCGGCTTCTTCCTCCCCCCAGCGCTGTAGTACCCAGCGCTACTCCAGCGCTCCAGCAGCGTGTCGCCAAACTTGCACACTGAAGAATGAGGCCGAGCTCTTGCCTCGGCCTCTTGATATAGCGGCCTGCTTGCCTCCTGGGCGGTGACTTCCAGGCCGCTCGGCCTCCCAAGCAACCGGTACCTCCTCCCTTTCGGAGGGAAACATCATTGCAGACTCTGATATTGCCCGTACAAACTCTAGACACTCAGACTGGATGGACTGGTACAGGCCTAGACCTAGCCTACTGCTACTGGGCCTCTAAAAATGCCAACTTCGTCTTCTTCTGCTCGGCCTTGAGTACCCGGCACATCTACTGCTACTGGGTGCGGTACCAGCCTACCTGCTACTTGAGTGTTTTTCCGCTGCTCTAAGTGCCGCGGGCCTCTGGCTCCGCCACTTGAGTGTTTTCCCCTGCTGCAACCCTCAATGCCACGGCCACGTACCGGCCCTACGGGCCTGCCAAACTAGCAAGTACCCTTGCGTGTCACACACACACTCATGCCGACAAGCACTCAGACAGGCACGCAAGTCAACAGGCACTCACACATACAGACTTAGAAAACAGAGCAGAATGCGGGAATCTCAGCAAGGCGTCCATTCCATCGACAGAACCTCAGAAATCGGCAGTGTTCTCAGTCTGTGTTATTGCGGGTCATTACACTACTCCCCCCTCAAGAGCGAGGTCCCTTCGAGCGAGTAACTCAATCAGAGTCCTTGCATAATGCATCATAAGCGTAAATAGCAAAGAGAGATCGGGTATGTTCTGTAGGAGTGAGGGTAGCAGTGAATTTAGGTTGCTGTTCGGAGCTAATCATATGCGTTGAAGACTCGTGGGGCACTCTGCAGCAAGTCTTTCTTAGCGATCCAATAAAAGTCATTCAATGGGGTGGTACAGAAAATGAACTTTGTACTGTCTGTTTCTCCCCTTTCCGCTGTGCTCTACAATTCTATCAACCTTGTGACCGCCTCTGCTTGTTCGAGGAATCATCGACTCTCGATACTAAAAAGTTTTGGGTGATTCATACGAAAAACAACTTTGATGCATGAAAGACTGGGTATGTGCGTAGGTGAGGAGGCACATCGATTGTGTAAGGACCAAAGGAATCATCTCCTACTCGGTTCAGCACCTTCCACGGACCGTAGTACCGAGGAAGAAGCTTTCATGATACACCTTCTTCTTCAGAGAACTCAGACATCTTGACCCAGACATAATTTCCCACTGTGAAAGGGTCAGGCTGGTGCTTTTTGTTTGCATACTTAATCATGGCATTGCGTCGCCTTTCCATGGCTGCGACAGCAACTTTGAGCAAACGATCAAACTTAGCGTTGTAGCCTGGCTGGCTTGGTGTTAGGCCAGGTGGCTGTTCAGGAAACAGATAAGATAGGGGACTGCGAATTTTCCATCCAAGGTGCAGCCGGTTAGGTGTCATCCCGGTGGAGGAGTGTATGGAGTTGTTGTACAGCCCCTGCACAATCGGCAATTCCTCATCCCAAGAGATCTGACCAGGCACAATAAGAGCTCGGAGAAGTTGGATCACAGTCTGGTTGATCTCCTCGGCCAGTCCATTGGCTTCAGGATGTCGACCAGACGTCATCTTGAGTTTGATGTCATAGATCTGGGAGGTGAAATCCTTCCAATCTGCACTTATGAACGTAGTGTCCCAATCACTCGCAAGAGTTTTCGGGGGTCCAAACTGCAAAATGTACTTCTTGTGAAACTCTTTAATCACAAGGTCAGTTGGGGCGTGAGGTGGTAATGGGATCAAATTCAAAAATTTTGGAAAGCGGTCAACTACCACCATTACTTGCGAATATCCATTCCTACTCTTCTTCCCCACGTCCGTGAAGTCAATAGAAAGAGACTCACCCGGGCCATCAGGAAAAGGAAGAGGATGCAGCAGCCCATAGGGCTTCTGCCGAGATGGTTTGATGCGTTGACAGACTTCACACTCAGCCACAAACTTTCGTGTCATTCCTTTCATCCCAGGCCATACAAACTTTTGCAACAGACTTCCGTATGTCTTTTCAAAACCGAAGTGTCCACTCCGACCATGAGCCAAGTCCAAGAAGTGAGTACGGATAGGCTCATGATTGGGTACACACAGGTGGTCGCACTTCCCGTAACGTCGGAAGAGCAAACCTTTACACTCATGGAAGTCAGGTTGACTGCTCGGGTCAGCCTGGATCTGCTCAAGGATGGGACTGAGTTTCGGGTCCTTGGCCGTATGCTCAACTAGTTCCTCCTTCAAGTTCTTACGGAGATCATAGGAGCCCACAAGACAAGTCATGCACTCAGGGTGGCGAGACAAAGCATCCGCAACGCGATTGTAACAACCTCTCTTGTGCCTAAGTTCGAAATCATACACAGCAATCTCATGCAGCCAGAGGGTCAATGTAGTTGATGGATTATTCTGTGTCTGAATCCATTTCAAAGTCTCGTGGTCTGAAAACACTTTGAAATGGCAACCCAAGAGGTATCGCTTCCAATGATCTAGTGCCTCTCTCAAGGCATACAGTTCTCACATGTAAGGGGAGGCAGCTACCTTGTGACTGGGCATATGTTTGCTGTAGAATTCGAGCGTACGTAAGCCGTCGCCATCATCTTGGTGCAACACTGCACCAATCCCATACAAGCTTGCATTCGTAGTCACTACGAATGTAAGTTTGAGATTTGCAATGCGGAGCACTAGATGACTCGCCAAAGCCTCCTTCAATGCTTGGAAGGTTGTTGTGGATTCCCCATCCCATGTGTAGGACACATTCTTGCTGGTCAATATGGACAGTGGACGAGCAATGATAGAGAATTTGGGTACAAACTTACGGTAGTATGACGTAAGGCCAAGAAAATAATGCAGCTCACAGGCATTTGCCGGTTGAGGCCATTTGCGGATGACCTCAACTTTGGTTGCCTCGGGCTCTAGGCCTGCAGCAGACAACCGATGTCCAAGGTAGATGACACTGTCCCTCCCAAACTCAGATTTTTCCAAGTTGAGATGGAGTTGCGCATCCTTGAGGATCTGCAACACTTCCTCAAGGTGTCTCATGTGCTCCTCCATTGACTTGTTGAAGGTTAGTATGTCATCCAAATAAACAACAACAAATCGATTGATCTGATTACGGAACACCTTATCCATGAGACTTTGAAAGGTGGTCGGTGTATTCGTGAGACCGAAGGGCATGACGGTAAACTCGTACAGCCCATCACGAGTTTTGAATGCAGTTTTATGCTGGTCTGTAGGGTCGACTTCAATCTGGTGGTAGTCGGACTTGAGATCGATCTTGCTGAAGACCTTGTATCCACATGCAGCATCAAGCAGATCATCAATACGCGACAAAGGATATGCATTTTTTCTTGTTATCCTATTCAGTCCGCGGTAATCGATACACATCCGTAGTTTGCCTCCTTTCTTTGGGACAAACAAAACCGGTGCACCGCATTCGGATTCGCTTGGCTTGATCCATCCCTTCCCAAGACACAACCTTTTGGAGAAGTGCTACCTTTTATCAACTCGATCTTGTGTCAGACCGGACGCATGGGGACTCCATGCGGTTCGATGAAGACTTCAGGAAATTGGTTGAGAAGGTTGTGGATTTCTGATGGGACTTCCGGAGGTGGATCATCACTTTCAGGTGCAAGCATACCAAATTGCATAGGTGCAGCCAAAACAACAGAATTTGAAGCAGAGTCGTTCGGACTAGAAGTAAACTTAGTAGAGGTAATAGTAGTAGTAGTAGATGTAGAAACTGCATGCAAAGTAGAATCATTATGTACAACAAATATAGAAGGCACATGAGCAGGCCTAACAAAGGCTATATACATTTGCTCATCAACTTTGTGCCTGCGCCACTTTTTGCATAATTGCATTGCATTGAGAAAAGTTACTTGGGACTCGTGTGGCTCATCCAAGAGGACTGGACGCTCGATTCCCATGGCATCTTTGACTATGAATTGTGAATCCTTCCACGTGGCTCTTTCACATTGAGCCTGCAACCAGCCCAAGCCAATAACCGCGTTGAAGGGGCACTTATCAAGGATATAGAAGTTCAACTCATGCGTGATTGTGCGGTCTGCATCAAAGGTAGTGCGCACACCTTTGACTGCATGCGTAGATGTGACAACCTCTTGGTTGCCCACTTGGGTCCGACAAGGGTTCTGCAAGGTCACTTGCTTCATTCCCAAGCGTGCATTACGAATGTCGTGCGGTAAGAAGTAGTTGGCGGTTGCGCCACAATCAGCCAACGCACGGATGTAACGACCGTTAATGTGGAATTTGAAGAAGCTCAACTTCGTTTTCCCTTGCACGCGTAGGCTGACGAAGAGCATGATGACTCGCAGTCTTGCTCTTGATCGTCATCAAGAGAAGGGTCCTCTGCGAAGGTCTCCTCGTCAACTTCAAGTAGATCGTGCGCTGCAAAAAGGTTACTGCCTGGAAACCGTTTGCGGTCGGTGGTCTTTTTGCCATCCGATCCACCCGGGAGGTCTTGTACCTCCAGCTTGACTAAATCCCCCATGAGGGTAAGCCAATTTATTTACGTTACGAGTCTGAGCCCCAGGCGATGTGTCACAGTAGAGGGGACCGTACCTTTTATCACATCCAAGCAAGACGGCGCAGTCATCTCCAGATCCGGCGTAGCATAGAGTTTACAAACATATTGTTGCAGACTATGCATGGTGCTGGTCCACTTGCTATGCTTGAGCTTGTCCAACTTAAGTCTAGCTTTGGCTGCAACATGTGGATCAGCATATTGTTTGATCAAGAGTTCCTCGAGTGCGGCTATAGGCATAGCCATTTGTTCAGGTCTATTCTTTTATAGCCTGACTGTACAGCTTGGACTTCTAAGAAGCCGTCGGACTTCTAAGAAGCCCCTTACGGCGGGTTTCACATTGGTCCCTAGGACCGACGACTGAGTCACTGGGGGTGTCCCCCAACACATCAAAGTAGGATCACATAAATAAAAGCGATAAAAAGTCAGACTAAGTTCACAAATTTTGACAAAAAGAATACTAAATAAAACAGTTGTAGCTAAAAAAGCACCACAAATTCTATGAAAAATAGAGAAAGTAGGAGTTAATTGTGGCCTATAAATAGTAATATGAGGTGATAATGGTCAATTGATTTTCATGTCAATTTACTCTGATTTTGACTCAAGGTGACAGGATTCGAACCTATGACCCTCTGTACCCAAAACAGATGCGCTACCTGATCCAAGATTCAATGTCGTGTTTTCCGTCATGCTTAGACGGAATTTGTGCCGCCTTCCTGTCCACATAGGGAAAGTTGCAGCTAGGACCAGCGATTGATGGGTTCGAATTTGGAGCTGCAACAGTTCCAAAATGCCCTACACTGCCACTTGTCGCTGCAGCAGCAGCAGCAGCAACAACAACGGGGTCTGGACCTACTGCAGATTCGGTTAGGTTGTTGGCCACACTCAAAGAAGAGGAAGAAGAAGAAGATAGAGTTAGAGGGGCAAGAACGAACTGACACGCAGCACTAGAAGCAGGGTAAGCAGGCGGAAGGACACTTTGGGCCGGCTGCAAGCTAGCAAACTATTGTCGGTGCTGCTGCGCCATCAGGGCCATATCCTCTCGCAACTTCTTGAGTTCATCAAACACCTTGGCGAGTTGGCCTGTATGGTCTTCAACAACCTGGACCTCTTCTAAAGCCAGAGAAGTGGGACAGTCTTCTCTTCCACCTCATCATCAGTTAAGGCGGGCACGGTACTGAAGACGGCTTCATGAGCCTTTACTTTGTCTCCCCTCTCCTCCTCCTCCTCCTCTTCCCTCTTCAACGCTTTTTCATAAAAAAACTGGTACTGCGCTTTCTCTGCCTCAGGGGCAGCGTCCATTTGCAGGTTCCATTCTGCTGCAGATGCCATAATGGAGGGCGAGGGTGTCAATAAGTCTCTCAAGCGAGGTCCGTACTTCCGCACACTTCTGGAACGAACACTCTTTCTCCCTCTCCTCACCCCCTCAAGAGCAACACTCAAAAACTTCTCTCTTCTCTCTCTCTCTCTCTCTCTCTCTCTCTCTCTCTCTTGTTTGCGATCATATAGACGTAGGCATTTAATAAACCCAATGAAAGAAACAGTCTTGAAAGCAATTAGAAGAGAAGGTAGAACTCCTAGCCGGAGCCGCAATTCATTTGGACTGGAGAGCAATCAAAACAAAAAAACAAAGATCAGAGAGATCTGATTCCACCACAAAGTCTGATTCGGCCACGTATGACGTTCTCTCAAGCCGAACCGGACTCAACTTCGTGAAGACACAACAAATCAAATTGGACTGGAGAGCAATCAAAACAAAAAAATAAAGATCAGAGAGATTTGATTCCACCATAAAGTCTGGTCCGGCCACGTATGACGTCCTCTCAAGCCTAACCGGACTCAGCTTCGTGAAGACGCAACAAATCAAATTCAAAGTGTACTACGTAAATGCAAGAGAGAATTGAGTGGTGTCCAAGGTGCGAGTCAGGCGGCGGATCGTGCGGTAAAGTATGACAGAACGTCTCGACCAAGATCCCCTCAGCAGCGAGTGTCCTGGTCCGAAATCATGAACTCAGTCCCAATCAGATAAAGCGAGGTAACTGACGTTAACAAATTTGGGCCTGAGGGGCCCTTCTTGTTTGGGCTCGATCCAACTGAGTCCCAAATGGTCTCAGTGGAGTCAGAACCGGGCCCCAACCAACAACAGTTCCACAAAGACCTACTTTCTGCCCCTACCGAATTAAAAAATGAAATTTAGCCCCGGAAAGAACCTACAGACTACAGCCGTTCAGAATGAAATAAGCAAAGCACTGTAGAGAGATATAGCATGGCAAGCAAGATACTCCATTCATTCACTCGTCAAGTGAGTAAGCAGTTCCCACACCTCTCACAAGATCAAGACTATAGAGGATGGAAGAAGAACCCAAAATAGCCCAGCAGGCAATCAATTCCATGCACACACACACATGGGCACCCTGGTGGCACGACACTTACCTTGGTGGCACGACACTTACCTGAGTGGCCGGGCTCTTGAGATGAAAGAAACTCACCCCCCTCTCACATAGTCCTCCTGACCCAATTAGCATCCTCTACACTAGTGTCCTATCATCTAGGAAGGTCAACATCTATCCCAAAGTACAACGCCGGATCCCCCGTCGATGTTGAAGATCAAAGCAGCAACTTGTAGTCCGTAGGTGCAGATATGGCTGCCACCCTCGAGCTCGCCTAGCTTGAGGGGAGCCCTAAAGTCACTCCTCGTCTTCCTCGAAGTCCAGATTCAAGTTATAGGTGCCCTTCATTGTCGCCTCTCTCAAGTTGCATCACGAAGTCCCACCTTGTGTCTTGCCACCACAAACATGCACTCAAGCAACCTGGGCGGGTCTAGCGTTGACCCTACACGGCCCTGCCAGGTGGGGGCAGCTTCCCTTCACCACGCTGCCCAACTTAACCCTAACTTCCAGCCCTAACCTTAAGTGGTTAGGCCTTACCACTTAGGTTAGGGTTATGGCGGCAAAGTCAACTCTTGCCAGCACGTAGAATCCGCTTTGATACCAATGTTACGATCCTGGCCAATTTCGAAGTATACATTCATCAGAAAGTACAATGCCGTCCAATTGCAAAAAGAAATCAATGAACTTGAGAGGAGAGAGAGGGAAAGAAGAAGAATAAGTAAGAAAGAAGAAGAAGATGATGTACTCCAGCATAGGCCAATGACAAGGCTCTTCTTCTTCGCCAACCAATCTCCTCTTCCTCCCCTCTTATTCAAACAATGGCTGAACCAGAATCTGTAACGACCCGCCAAAAACACAGACTGAGAACACTGTTGATTTTTGGGATTTGCCGCTGGAATGAATGCCTTGCTGAAATTCCCGCATTCTGCTGTGATTTCCATGTCTGTGTCTTTGTGCGTGCCTGTTGGTTTGCATGCCTGTCTGAGTGCTTGTCAGTTGAGTGTGTGTGTGACCCGCAAGGGTACTTGTTGGTTGCAAGGCCCCGCAGGGCCGGTACTTACCTGTGGCCGTGACTGTGAAGGGTTGCAAAGGGGAAAACACTCGAGTAGCGGGGGTAGGCCCGCGACACTTAGAGCAGAGGGGAAAAACACTCAAGTAGTAGGTAGGCCGGTACCACTGAAGTAGTGGTAGAAGTGTCGGATACCGGAGGCCGAGCAGAAGAAGACAAAAAGTTGGCATTTTTTTAGGCCCAGTAGCGGTAGGATAGCGGTAGGCCGGTACCAGTCCAAGTAGCCCGGGTCTAGGGCCTGTACGGAGGATAGCAGAGCCTGCAATGATGTTTCCCTCCGAAAGGGAGGAGGTACCGGTTGCTGGGAGGCCGCTCGGCCTAGGAAGTCACTGCCCAGGAGGTCAGTAGGCCGCTATATCTCCAAGAAGAGCAAAGAGCTCTTCCTCATTTGCGCTGTGCAAGGATTGGCAACATGCTGCTGGAGCGCAGCGCTGGACTGGTGCAGCGCTTCTTGGAGGTGAAGGGTCGCTGGAGCTCAGCCTGGCTATGGCGAGCAGTCCAGCTTGAGGAGGAAGAAGGGGGCATGGTAGGAGAGTGGCGGGGCACTTACCTGGCTATGGTAGACACCATCTTCATCACCTTGTTGGGCGCTGGATCTGGAAGGCCCCAGTTGGGGTAGTGCTGCACCAAGGAAGCTCGAGGCAGAGTCAGGCATGGCGGACCAGTCAGCAGCGGCATAGCTGCTTTGGGTTGTCCTTTGGACATCAGCGCAGCACCATAGCTGCTTTGGGTTGTCCTTTGGACATCAGCGCAGCACCATAGCTGCTTTGGGTTGTCCTTTGGACGTCAGGGCAAGGCCCTCAATAGTCCGCCATAGCCTACGCATGAGAGAGGAGGCTGAAGGAGGGAAGCCATAGCTATGGTGGACTGGTTGTTGTTGTTGTTGTTGAGTTGAATCAGCAGTAAGAGGGAACTTCGGATATTGATTCTGGTTCATCCATTCATTGTTATTATTATTATTGAGAGAAGAATAAGATTGGTGAAGTGGAGGAGGAGAAGATGGAGAGAAAAGGGGGATTTGTCATTGGCCTTGCTGGTGTACATCATCTTCTTCTTCTTCTTCTTTCTCTCTCCTCTCGTCTTTATCTCTTTGCAAGTGCTTTCATTTCTTTCGCAATTGGGTGGCATTGTCTTTCATTGTGAATTTGCACTTGGGAAATGACCAGGATCGTAACAATTGGTATCGGAGCGGACTTACTTGCTGGCGAGAGGTGTTAGTCACCCTAAGCCTAATTTCGAGTTAGGTTAGGGCTAACCTAATCTCAGATTAGGGTTGGAAGTTAGGGTTAAGTGGGGCAGTGAGGTATGTGGATGCTGCCCCCACCTGGTTAGGTCATGTAGGGTCGACATTTGACCTGACCAGGTTGACTGAGTGAATGGATGGGGTGGCGAGACACAAAGGAGACTGATTGGAGTAAGCGAGAGGGAGTAGAGAGTGAGAGGTACTCGCACCTGGAAACTGCACTTCAGGAAGACATTGAGTGACTTTTGGGCTTCCCTTCAAGAGGGAGACTTGATCGGAGGCTGCCATATCTGCATCGAATTGCTGCAAGTTGCTACTTTGGTCTTCAGACATCGACAGGGGATCCGGCTTTGCAACAGGGGTGTAGGAAGGCCCTCTTAGTCATGCCAGGACACTTCGTGTAGTGGTAGTTAGGGGTCAGGAGGACTCATCTGAGAGGGGGGTGAGTCGTTATCCATCTTTGGAGGCCGGGCCTCACAGGTAAGTGTCGTGTGACCTGGTTAGCCAATGGGAGGTTGCTTGGTGCTTCATAGCCTGTTGGGGGTGTGCTGGGCTCTTTTCCTCTTCTCTGCGGTCTTGGCTGTGTGTGTGAGCATGTGGATTGCTTTCTCACCTGATGGATGGATGGATGATGTATCTGTTCTAAACGACATATCTTTCTGCGGTGCAATGTCTTTTCATTTCTGAATGGCTGTAGGGGTAAGCTTCTTGCTGAAAGTTGTCTTTTCCTTTTCAGTACGGTAGAGGCAATTTGGGACCGACTTGGTATCCCTATCTCGTTCAACCTGGTCCACGACCTACTTGGGACCTTTTGGGACTCAATGGGACCAGGCCCAACGGGACAGGACCTTTCGGGCCCAAATCTGTTGCCGCCTGTGCATCTCTTTGCTGTGCTGAACTTGGGGGACATACGGCTAGCAAGGGCATTCCTTTCAAGGGGATCTTGACTGGTCTTACTGCATGTTATCACATACTGCCCCGCATCTGACTCGGCGACCGTCTGCACCCCTCGAAATCTCCATTGCTGCAGTTAGCTTTCTTCGACTGATTTATTGTGATACATGTCCCTTGTCAGGTTAGACAAGAGGGGATCTTCAGCTAATCTGATCGAGCTCGTTCTATAAGTCAGTCCTCTCTTCCGTTTTTTTTTTTTTTNTTTTTTTTAATTCTTTTATTCCGCTGCGTGCCATTCTCAAGTCCAAATGAATCGCCGCTCCGGCTAGGAGTTCTACCTTCTTCTCTGTGTGATTTTCTGCTTCTTTCTTTCATCTGAACTATCTATGTCCGGTATTGAGACACGTGCGCAGACAGCGGGAAGAGAGAGAAGGGAGAGAGAAGGTGTTTTGTTTGAGAGTGTGAGGAGGGGCAAGAGGAGTGTTCGTCCAAACGTGAGGAGAGAGCGGACCCCTCTTGAGAGATCTACTAACACCCCTTCCTCCGGCATGGCAGACATCACATCTGCCCAATGGCAGGCCATGCTGGACGCAACAGACGAGAACGGGAAACCGTTCTTCCAAAAGCTTTATGATGATGCCGTGCAGAGGGAAAGGGAGGCAGAGGCAGCAGCCAGAGCCACCAGCATTGCTGATCAGGTGGCCCTCCTTCAGGTCCCGGAAGCGAACGCTGACCGGTTCCAGGAGAAGTTAGCTCCTGCCATAGCAGCCTTGGTTCGACTGCGGAACTTAGAAGACCTTGAGTCCCGTGTAACAACACTTGAGCAGCGGAACCAAGAGCTGCAGGCTGAGATAATCAGCCTCAAACAGTCCCAACTGTCTGCCCCCCGCCCTCCTAACCCTCGACCTGCTCCAGTCCCAGTCTCTCAATCCAACACAGTCCTCATGGCAAGAGCAAGTGGAACTGTGACGAGTGCAGGAACCGGTGCCAGCTCCTCGAGCGGCAGCGCCGGCAGTTCTGCACTAGTCATAGTCCCAAATGCAAGGACATCAGCCCAAAACGCCACAGTCCTTACTGGCGTACAATACAGCGGTCCCGTAGTGGACAAGCGGGCGGCCACTTCGCCGTCCAAGTACGACGGGAAAGCGGATATCACCTCTTGGATTAGTTCCATGCGCTCATACTTCAAGGTCATGCAGACAGCGCAGGACGATTGAAGCATGATCATGGGTCTGCAACTCTCTCTCCATCGTCTCGGCCCTCCAATCGCCTTGTCCTTTCGCTTGCAAGGCACAGTTTCCATTCTAACTTCTTCTCATCTTCACTGGCCTGTTGGCGCAAGGGGTTCTCCTCCTCCTCCAATTCCTTTAAGACCGCCTCCCTTTATGCTTGGGGGACAATCAACAAAGCCTCTTCCTCCCAAGTGCCAAATTGGCCACCCACTCTGTCACCATCTTCTCCATTTTTGCCTCTCTTTCTCGCGCCCCACTAGACTCCCCTCTCTCCTCGGTCCTCACATTTCTCTGAAGGGGAACCTCCACTTCTTTTTCTTATTCTTCCTCTGCTTCTGCTTCGCCTCTACTTCTACTGTCGCCAACTTCTCCTCCTCCTCTTTCTTCCACCTTTCCAATTCTTCCTCCATCTGTTTTTGCTTCGCCTTCTGCTCTTCCGTCAATGCCAACATCTTCGCCTTCTTAATCAACTCCTTCTCCATCTTCTCTTTCTTTTCTCTTAGAGCGGAGGCGGCTTTGTCTTCTTGCTCCTTACTATAAGAGGTGGTGCTAGTTCCTGTCCTAGTGGCCACCATGGTGAAAGATGCACAACCAAGTGATAGTTCTACTCCTCACCACTTAAGACTTTCCACCCACGAAATGACTAACTCTTTAAAGGACCACAAAGTCTTCTCCTTTGATCCAGCCAGGCTACCACAGCCGACGACTCTGGATCAGACCCTGTCAACTATGGTCACTAGCCTAACCTACTCTAAGGTTGTCATGACAGGACTCTACCGCTGATCGGGAGCCATTTAAGGAGATCCCCCATAACTCCTCACAAATTCTTTAACGTCGCAGTCAGGACGACATGATCAACAGAGTCCCCTCAATACTTAAGGCAGGCGGATGCGCAGCCTACAACTCAGATGTCAGGCCTACCATGCCACTACTGAGCAGCCCGTCGGTCTGTACCCGTCCTTGGGGGTTTCGGGACGTGTCAGTCGTCGGACATGGACTTCAGCCCTACTCAGCCTGTGCAGGTTTGGTCACCACAGCTCTACAACCTTATGCACATAGTCCTATCAACCTAGACAGAAATGACTCAATGCAGAAAGAAGGGACATCTTGACTCGGCAAGTACCAAGGCATGTGCACATCCATAGGGCGAGGGGGCAGGCTTAAGGCTTGACAACCAGCTTGGTCAAAATCTCGGCCAACGGCCTTGGTCAACACTGGTCAAATTGGTCAAACCTCCGGTCGAACTTGGTCGATGCCCGGTCAAACGTCGTCAATCAATTCTTGGACCCCCGGCTATGGCTGCCGACCTTTCTCTCTCGTCAATCTCCTTCTCTCTTCTTCCCCCTTTTTCTTTCTCCTTCGCCCAACCTCAGGTATGGCTTCTTCCTTCTCCCCCGTCTCTCCTTCCTCCTCTCTCTCAGCTTCTTCTTTGTCACTCTCTGTCTTCTCCTTTGTCAGGTTCGAGCTTGGCGGCTATGGGCAGGGCGAGGGGGCAGGCTTAAGGCTTGACGACCAGCTTGGTCAAAAGCTCGGCCAACGACCTTGGTCAACACCGGTCAACTCAGTCAAACCTGCGGTCGAACTTGGTCAACACCCGATCAAACGTCGTCGATAAAGTCTTCGATCCCCGACTGTGGTTGCCGACCTTTCTCTCTCGTCAATCTCCTTCTCTCTTCTTCCCCCTTTCTTTCTCCTTCGCCCAACCTCAGGTATGGGTTTTTCCTTCTCCCCCGTCTATCCTTCCTACTCTCTCTCAGCTTATTCTTTGTCACTCCCGGTCCTCTCCTTCGTCGGTCGAGCTTGGCGTCTATGGCCGCCACCTTCTTCGTCGCTGCACACCAATCTTCTCTCTCTCTCTCTCTCTCTCTCTCTCTCTCTCTCTCTCTCTCTCTCTCTCTCTCTTCGTTGCACACGAAGATTCTTTGTCACTCCCCATCCTCTCCTTCGTCGGGTCCGAGCTTGGCAGCTATGGCCGCCACCTTCTTCGTCGCTGCACACCAATCTCTCTCTCTCTCTCTCTCTCTCTCTCTCTCTCTCTCTCTCTCTCTCTCTCTTCGTTGCACACGAAGATTCTTTGTCACTCCCCATCCTCTCCTTCGTCGGGTCCGAGCTTGGCAGCTATGGCCGCCACCTTCTTCGTCGCTGCACACCAATCTCTCTCTCTTTCTCTCTCTCTCTCTCTCTCTCTCTCTCTCTCTCTCTCTCTCTCTATATATATATATATATATATATATATATAGATATAGATATTCTTCGTCGTTATTGTCGTTTCTTCTTCTCTCTGAGGCTATGGCCGCCCTTCTTCGATCTTGGCGCAACAGTCTCCTTCTCCAACAGCAGCGGCCTTTCTCTTCGTCGCGCGGTGGTAGTCTTCTCCTTCGGGGGGCGGAAGTCTCCCCAGGCAATGGCGCTGATGGCGCACGGCCACGGCAATGGCGCTCAATAGCATGTGGCTACTGGCACGCGACACCTAAACGCGCGGGAACTAGCGCATACAAACGATAGCGCGTGGAGGGGGGAAGCAACGGTCGCAAGGCGATGTGACGTGCATGCCAACCGTGACAAGTGCGAATAAGCCAACCGTGACAAGTGCGAATTTGCTCGTCAAAAGCTGGAATACTTGGGCCATTCTATCACACCGGAGGGCATCAGTCCAATATCGGACAAGATTCAAGCCATCCAAAAGTGGCCGGAGCCGCGGAACGCGACGGATGTCCGTTCGTTTCTTGGCCTTGCTAGCCACTACCAGTGTTTTATCAAAGGCTATTCGAAGATCCAAGCCAACTTGACCAAGCTTCAATGCGAGGATCGGCCGTTCGACTTCGGTGAGGATGCGTGGGGTTCATTTTTGGCTCTCAAAGCTGCGTTACTATCTGCGGAGGTCTTACGAATCTACAACCTGCTTTTGCCGACGCGCGTCACTACCGATGCGCCCGTCTATGGCATTGGTGCCGTACTCGAGCAACACGACGGCGTGGATTGGCACCCGGTCAAATATTTCGGCAGAAAGTGTCCGTCGTGCATTCAATCGACGATGCACGGAAGGAGGAGTTACTAGCCTTCGTCCACATGCTCAAGCGGTGGCAGCATTTTCTTCTTGGTCGAGTCAATTTTGATGGGTAACGGATAATTTGTTGGTCTTCTACACGACCCAAGATATGGTCAACAACACGATCGCCTGTTGGATGGCTTTCATCGACCAGTTTGACTTCTTTCCCAACCACATTTTGGAAAAGTCAAACCATTTTGCGGCTCCTCTTTCACGGCGTCTGGGTCATTACACCGCAGCCTACTCAACCTTCGAGATTGATGGTGACTTGCGGGATAGCTTCATCTGTGGCTACCAAGCCGACCCTGAGTTTCGCGACAAGTACACAAACTGTTCCTCTCGTAATCAGGCGCCATCGCACTATCAGATCCAAGAGGGATATTTGCTCTTTCACTCCCGGGGGGAAGGATCTTCTTTGCGTACCAAGTGATTCCCACTTGCGTACGCGGCTTCCTGGCGAGTTTCACGACGCTCCCGCCACCAGACATTTTGGAGTCAATCGTACGACTGGCCGACTTCGCGAGCACTTTTGCTGGCCCGACCTTCTTGGTCACTCGCTATTGCGAGTCATGCGAGGTTTGTCGACGTTGCAAATCACACAATCATTGTCTGTACGGCGAGTTGCGACCATTACCGGTACCCTTGTGCCAAAGGGAAACGATTGCGATGGATATCACCGGGTCGTTCCCCAAGCACAAGCCTGGTGTGCATGGGATTCTCACGGTGGTCAACCGACTCACCAAGTTCGCCATGTTATTGCCTTACCGGTATCATGCCAAGGCATCAGAGTTAGCCGAGGTTCTTTACGCCGGTTCGATTCGGACCAAGGGTTGCCCCAAGGAAATCGTTTGCGACCGCAACACTCGGTTCATGTCCGTGTTTTGGTTGGAGCTCATCAAACAATGGGGCTCATCTCTCAAGCTGAGTCTGGCTCGCCACCCCCAAACCAATGGCCAAATAGAGAGGGCGCATCAGATCATACAGGTTCTCCTACGCCCTCTCATCCGTCCTGACCAAAAGGATTGGGTTGAGCGACTGCCGGATATCGAGTTGGCATACAACTCGTTCATTCATCCGACTATCGGGATGTCGCCCTTTGAGTTCGAGCATGGCTCGCCAGTCACTTCTCCATTGGACACGATCATCGAGTTGGCATACAACTCATCCATTCATCCGGCTATTGGGATGTCTCCCTTTGAGTTCGAGCATGGCTCGCCAGTCACTTCTCCGTTGGACACGATCATCCCATGGGTGGCTGAGAGCGACAACCATCTTCTTTTCTTGCGTCGGATGCAAGAGCTACTTGTGAAGGCACGCGACCAGATGTCAAAGACGCAGCAACGCATGAGCCAACATGTCCAA